TTCTTGGCCCTGGGAAAGCCCGCGGGGGGCCGTGGGGTGGGGTTGCCTGGGGCGCAGGGGGGATGTTGGAGAGGGAGGGGTCCCAGCCCTCTGGGTGGGGACACGGGGCCCCCAGCCAGCATTTGTGCACTGGCTACTTCCCCAGCGCTAGGCCCCGGAAGGAAGCGGATACTTGAAGCTGCGCTGGGCCTCAATTCTCCATCTGTGCAGTGGGCTGCTAGCAGGAGAGTGAGGTTTTATGGGGCTGGGGAATCGAACCCAGGGCCTCCTGCCTGCTAGGCAAGCACTGTACCACCCTGCGTACCACCCAGCCTGTAGCAGCTATCAGATGCTGCCCACCTCTGCACTGGGGATTGGACCCAGGGCCTTTGCCCTGAGCTACATCCCCAGCTCTTGTTTATTTCAACAAAGGTCACACTGAGTCACTAACTTGCCCAGGCTGGACTCTACCTTCTCACTCTCCTGCCTCAGCCTCCCAGAGTGCTGGGATTACAGGTGTGGGGCACTTGTTGAGGAAAAGTCACTTCCTTCTGCCTCCTGCAGGCAAATGTTGATTGAGCACCTATTACCTGCTGGCATTGTGTTGGGCCTCGAGGTTAAAGCGGTGACTGAGAGAAAAGTCTGAGAAGACGAGGCTTCAGAGACGAGACTCCAGAGCCAAATCAAGAGGTAAGGGGCAAGGCAGTGTGGGAATGGGCGTTTTAGTTTATTTTGGAGTTTTGAGATTGGGTCTCATACATATCCCAAGCTGGCCTTGAACTCGTGGTGATCCTCCTGCCTCAGCCTCCCAAGTGCTGGGATTACAGGAATGCCTCACCACACTATTTTATCCAGAAGAAATTATAGACAGAGGCAGCACCATCTGGGAATCTGATGTTTTGAGTGAAAGAAACCAGAAGTTAACAGAATAGCTTCTGTGGGATTCTGTGAATGCAAACTTTGAGACAGGTAGGGCTAAGTGTGCGGTGAGAGGGGCCTGGGTGGCGATTGCCCTTGAGGTCTTCCTGGGAGGAGGCTGGAAGAGCCTGTGCATGCTGCAAATGTCTCCTGTTGGGGCCTGGCTGCTGCTGTCCGGCTTGATACATATACAGACCCTTGTGTTGTGCTCTCTGTACACGTAGTTCAAGAAAAGCTTAAACAGACGAACAGCCAGGGAGCCGGGAAAGGGGGCAAGGATGGGGAATTAGATGGCCGCCCTCCCTAAACCACTGTCCGTCCAAGGGACAGCTCGGCCCCAGCAGCCAGGCTTTCGTCAACCACAGTGCCCAGGACCATGCTGTGCTATTGGGTTTTTTTTTTTTTTTTTTTTTTTTTTTTTTTTTTTTTTTTTTTTTT